CTACTTATAAGTAGCTCACACCACAGTAGTAGTAGTAGTAGTAGTAGTAGATCAATCACCTTAAATTAATTGGGAACTGAAAATGACGCAAATTGAAAATTGATTCCTTTTTTATTAACAATGTATACAAAGTTGTATTTTACAAGAACTCTTAGCGAGTCGAACACTTTAAGTTTACTGTATTTAGGACAGTTTCAAACCAGTAAGTTTCTTCATTTATTAAATACTGATATAAAATCATAAAATTTTCAAAATATTACCAATGCATTTCTTGCAATAAATAATCCTTATGCATAATGTCCTACTAATTAAAAGACATAGGAATTGAATAAACAAGATCCACATTTTCAATAGCTTGCTGTCCACAATTGCATTAGAAGAATATTCGAAATGATAAAAGATTTAAAAAAAGCATAGTTTTCTAATCACGTTTATAAACTGTCTTTCACTATAATCTAACTGTATCTGTAGGTCATCACAATCAAAATCCAGCAATAATATATCAAGCTTGATGTCACTCTCATGGTCATAATAATTATTCCTCTTACGAAAGAAACACTAGTAGTTCATGAAGTTCAGGCTTGTCAGATTAAGGGTTATTTGAAGATCAATAAGTTTTTACGTCAATCAGCGGTAATATAAAATAAAAAATATGCTCACAATGATTGAGTGAATGATTAAATATAGGTTGTGGCTGGTCTTTATGGCCTTTCAAACAAAAAATAAACGTTTATTAGCTTTTAATTACAACTAAACAAATAACTACATTCTGTCTCATTGCTTCAAATTATTTGATTCTTTATACAACTGTAAGACTTCAATTGTCATTTTTCTGTACAATAGTAATTTTTAAAACAATTTATTTAGTGAGCTAGGAACTAAGCATGATGATGATTGTGTTATACTTTACTCTTGTCAAATTTAGAGCTGATGACGTCTTAAACCACTCAGTATTTCTAATAATAATAATAATAATAATAATAATAACAGTAATATTAATCAACGCGACAGTTTTCTTGTTCATAAAGTGATAATTGGGACAAACATCATAATACCCCTATCTACTTGAAAAGATTTGCTAACGATTTAGAAACAAGCTCAAATTTCTTACCAGTGAAATGGTAAACGATCTATAACTAACCAAAAAGCAAAAATTCTCGATGAATAATCGAATATTTAGAATATTCTAAACTATGGTGAATCTCTGTATGTAACTTTTAGAGACATTATTTTGCATTTCGATACAATAAACTTACCATAAGATTGTCCTCACTTAAAAATAGTTCACAAATAATTCTTCCTCTAAACTGCTTTATAAAAATGGCTTGTACTTAAACAGGATAATTTAACGCTCAGATGAAACTAAAACAAGAAAACTACTCGGATTGGTCAATATTCAAATTTTCCCATTTTTTTCCTCTACAATATAAAATAAACCTGATTAAGATACTTCATCATGGAATCAAGACCATATGCTCCCCAAACGCTATTGCAGAAGGAACAAATAATTTCATACTACTCTGACAGGAAATGGGTAATCTGTGGAATTTGTAAATAAGCGTATAGCCATGGAAAGTGAGCATAAGAAAGTCCTAACTGTGAACCTACAATTCAGAGGTGATACACCCCAGTGCAATACTAAATTTGTATAGAGTAGGTAAACTACAATTATTCTTTTCCACATGTTCATTTATTATTATCGTTATCATTGTTATCATTATTAACATAATGCTTGCGAATGTTTGGGAAATCTATTCAGCATCCACTCCTATTCACTAATTCCTACCTCATTCATGTTGTTCGACGCATTACTTGATTCCTTATCTTTAATTACTTAATTAATTATTATCTTTCTCACCATCATAACGGATTTTTTTCATTTACTTCACTCAAGATATTCGACTTTATTGCATAACTGTCTCAAGGAATTCCAGTAGAAACTCCGTACCACTGGATATGGAACGAAACCACCAGTCATTACCGTCATATACCGATGTGTTATCGTCTGATTATTCTTCATCTTTTCTCTTAACATACTTTCATCTCATCCACTATCATTTATTAAAGTAAGCAGTCTCTCTTTCTGTGTAGAAGTAATAAAATGACGGTGAATCTTCGAATTTTAAGTGGCTAGATTTAGTGTTAAATTCTCTGAACTGAATGATTGAATTATGAATTACATTAATTCTGACCATTATTCTCGCAAATTTATTTTACGTTTAAACTTATTCAAGTGAATTTATCACATTAATCATCTTAACATTAACAATTTATATCACAAGCAACCTTAAATATGGCCATTTTTCGGATTATTAATTTGAATGTATAATGTGGAACCTGAGATACTGACACACTCAGAGAATCCAATATAATGCTCATTAATACTTTCCTAGCCTTTCATGATCTACTCAGTGAGGAGGAAACTACCATGAAGAACAAATGGAAAAAGGTTTGCGAAGCAATAACTTCAACATGTCAGCAGGTCCTGGACTGCACCTGGAAGAACTCTTGAATAGCCCAGCTCCACTGAATCCACAAGTCTTCGGAGTAGGTCAGAGCAATCAAGGGATACTGTGGATAGCTTTGATGTAGCTAGACGATTTGGACCTCGCAGATGACATACCTCATCTAACCCTTTCAACAACAAATGCAGAGGAAGATAGTCAGTGTTGCAGCAGCCTCTGCAGCAGTAGGTCACGACATGCACAAGTGAAAGGCAAGATCACCAGATACAGAACAACATGCACCAAAAATTCATACTAAATGGAGAAGCTTTGAGGGATGTGGAAACAGTTACACATCTGGGCAGCAACGCTGATAAGCACTGTGGACCGAATGCAGATGTAAAGACACCGGCTGGCAAAGCAAGGGAAGCATTACTACAGTTGAAGAAGAGCACAGAGCACTGAGAATCAGAGATAGACATGAAAAGAGTGAATAGCAATTGTGTAGAACTGGAAAGGAGAATGGAGAAGAAAGTTAGTTGGAGAGTGGCGGTTGGTAGCCTATTCTACACGAGAGTAGTGTAACAGTTGTGAGAAAGAAACGTTGTGCTATATCCGATAGAATATTAAAGAACTAGTAACTCGTTAAACTAAATAAATTATTACTATTATTATATGTATTCTTATTGTATAATTGTTCAACAACTAGGACATTGTGTAGTATTATTCCTTTTGCCATAAGCACATGACTAACCCATTAACCTATTGTATGTGATTTAATATTTCTAATCTTTCGTCAGTTTACCATTCATAGACCCCACCATCCACGGCCACTTTGGACTAGTCATGATTAAAATTTTTTATCATTCAATGGTGTTATGTGGTCCGGTTCGTTTTCTACACAAACTATGTTTGACTGAAATATAGCCAGTTTTGTGAAAGCAGACTATGGACTTCTGGATTATGAGATATAGTGGAACGAAAAAAACTATCGAGTTGTGTACCGAGTACGATTTTCTGGTTCTGAAACAGAGTTATTCATGCGGTATTGGTTAAGGATTTCAAATGCAACAGCTTATATGTACATCAGTCAACTTAGGTCATTGCATAGTTGACTCTGAGTTCGGTCAAGATGATAGAAGGGTTTGAATATTGAAAGATTGTGATTATTTACTGATTTAAGTACATTTAGTACCTTAATTATTTTATACAATAACGATTATGTGATACATACTGATGACCTGCAAAATATGGCCCACTTGTCTTTCGCTTCTGTTATCATCTCATTTGGAATTAACTACGCCTTTAACAGCAGATATCTCCCTCCACAGTTTGAAAAGTGCCGAATGGAGACAGTACGCAGCTCTTTCTTGGCACATCTGATTGATAGAAGTTCTGTTGTAGATAAAACCGAATCATTTCGGGTAATCTATCGTATACCCCTATCATTTACCAACAGCGTTTGACATATATATGTAGCAGAAGCTATAAATATCAGAACCGATAACCCTAGCTTGTGTTTAAAAGGAATTCGTGATGCCTCTGTGCCTTCCTTGACCAGATGTAACTTAATAGACAATTTTATTGTATGATAATCATTATAGCATCCTGCATTTGTTTCTCATCTTTTGCCTCTTTAAGTTTATATTCTCCACTATCTGGTTATCTACAAACTTCTTGTTGTGTAATTCCAATAATGTTTTTTATGATTATTATTTTAAGTCTATTTATCCAAGTTTGACCTACTTCTTCCGATTTCCAACAATTAACAAACGCTCTTGTAATTGTACTTGATTATTCTTACCACTAACAGTACACTTGTCTTCTTACTATCAACTTGTATTTTTAACTATTGTGTGTAGTTGCGTAATGTGTTTCATTGAGAACATTGACTCATAAATTGCATTAATTGGTTTGATAATTTCCCATCAATATTCATGTGTACTCCAGTAAAGCCTGATAATTATCTAACAAGAAAACAAAACTGTTCTCCTATTTGTATTGTCCCAATTATATTAGTGCTAAAATAAGAAATTATAATTTTATTAACCTATGAAAATGTAGACAATGTTGGCTTTCTGTTTAGTAATTTAATGAATCATTCTTTTAGCCAAGAGTATCATCAACAAACATGTTTGATGAACAACATTTCGTGAGTATTCATTAAGAAAAGAATGTTAATATGAAAAGTTTACATTATTCACAATATACCATACAATTGCATATGTTCTTTGTAAATTCACTTTCTCCTTCTCCATTTTTTATTGTGCTTATCTTATTTTTACATCTCTCTCATTACCATTACTAGTCATAATGTTATTCAGTAGAATACGTTAACAGTTTAATGAATCATTATCAATTTTTCTTGACTTCAATAAAATAAAAAACACCGAACAAAATATCAAAAAGAATGAAATAAGAAATGTAAAATTGTATAAATGAATAACGTGATGTTCAAATGAGATTATGATTTTAAGAGATTTATGTATTATTCACAAGAAGCAAAATTAATCTCAGACAATAATCATAAATAAAGGTCACACTGTTTTTAAAGTGAATGTCTGTTTTTCAAATGAATGATAAATTTTATTCAATTAGATGATGAGTCCCATACTAGGACGAAATGGCCATCATCCATTGCTTCCAGGTTTCTAATGGTCCTCTAACAATGATTGATTGATGATTTCAAATGTGTAAAATTTTATTCAAGCAAATTGAATAATTCCTACCACCGGATCCCTTGATGGATTTGAGCTCTGTATGGAAGGCTTTTCATCAAATGGAACTAGCCCACAATTAGTTGGAATGATCTAAAAACAGTTTGATATAGTTTAGTTAGTGATTTGCATACTTCACATTTATAAACTATGTTAAATCCTTGTTCATAGTGATCATTATAGGTGATTTCAAGTTGTTTGATCTTAAAACGAAGCAGTTAAATAAATTGGATTCATTTCATTTTGTAATTCTTAGTGTTCTTGCTTTGTTCACATTTAAAACAAAGTACAATTCAGTTTAACATAAATGCAATTAATATTTATCATTTAGTTATGAAAACTGTAAAGAGTTCAATGATAAACTCAAGAAATTTATTTCGTTTCAATGAGTAGAAACGCTGAATTGTTGACATTTCACAACCTCATGAAAGTTGATTCGTCAAAAATATCTAATGTTAAAAAAAACACTAAAATTCAATAAATCTAATCACTGTTCAGTGATTATTTAATTTTCCATAATAAGTAGGTTATTCAAAATTCTACTTGATTTTTTTTTATGAGCATCAATGATATGATGTTACAGATTATAGCTTTTTTTATTCATGAGGGACACATTGTAGTAATCAGAGACTGGGTTAGTTAACAGTGTAAGTAATTAAAAACATTTTATAATCTGAATTTCTTAATTTTTTAGGATGCATTATTTTCATTTGAAAATGATACTAATTCTCTAAATAAAGTTAAAAGTAACATTTCAAGCTTATAAAATGAATGGTATATCAATTTTTAAGACATCATAAGAAGTGAGACACATGAAGTGGTCGTTAGCTTTCCAATAAGGTTCAAAGAAGGATCTTTTTAAGTACAACAAAATGCTTCTCACAATATGTCATAAGCATTTCACAGAATATAGATGAAACGAAGTTAATTGACTTATAATGTACTAAGTATTCACAAATTTTTTTTTAGAAATTGACTTTAATGGTGATTATTATCAAAGTTTTGCTTCAGCTAGAAGTTTCAGATTTTATGTTATGTATATTTCGTTACTGAACAATATGAGTTATGTAGAATAGAAGGACTGTAGCCAGCGGTGGAATCGAGAAGGTGCGTTTTGTCCTATTTATGCCTCACCATTCGGATATACTTGTTCTCTAGTGTTAATATTCACACCGACACTCAAATGGGACAGAACGCGTATCCAAGATTCCGCTGCTAGTTATACTCCTTCTGTTGTATATTGTAATAGCTATATCGAGACAATCTACACAGAATCCATATATACCAATGAGGACTGACAAACGCACATTGTCGATTAGATTAACTTATTTTTAATAATCATAATAATAATAGTATGTACTATAAAACTGTCTTAATTCTACAGACGGGATGAATTTCAAGGGATTTAAATGATTTTTTAAAACAATTTTTACGGAATTTTCCGAAGATATCTAAGTGAGTTTGTGCACCGTACAAAAAATATATTCGCCTCCAATTTTTACCGTTCTTTAGAGTTGGAAAGAATTAGATACTATTACAGGTTAATAAATCTGAAAAGGATTTTCAATACATGTTTTAGGTCTGCATTGGTTCCACAAGGGTATAAACGCAAAAAATTCATTTAAGAAATTTCATTTCATTATTATTTAAGTCATAACTGTTAAACGCCAAGTAAACTTCCTACTTATAAATTGTATGACAAGTTCATTTTCTTTAAAAAGCAATTCTGCAAAAATTTAATTCATAACATTTACACCGGAATAAAGACTATGAAAGCATGAATGGAATCGTACGTTTGAAAAATGCAAATGTAAATCTACTAAAAAACATTTCATGGACATCCGTGGAAAAATATCAGTGCATCGTGAATAAAGTCTCCAAATAAAGATTAATAATTTTTAAACATAATTATAACTGCTTAAATGCATGTTTCTCAGTTATTAGTTGAATAACAGTGAGGTGTGCTATGGTGAAAGACACTGAATAAGACTATCAGCTTAGTCTAATGAGTAGTTTAACTACCACTCACTGTAATACATGACTACCTCTTTTGTAACACCTGATTTCCTTAAAAGTATGAACAGCACACAATATCATAAGGTGCAACATTGTTTGTCTGGTTATTTATGAGATCATAAATTATCACCTTAAAATCGCATTCAGTTTACAATGAAATTCGGAACGATTTTCACAGTTAGTTATATTCTCCCGCTATTTTCATTTGTATACTACAGCACATGCAACTACTTTGACTTCATGAAACAAATTATTTTCATAAATAACCCAAGTAAAATGGCTGTGTAAATTTATTTAATTAAGCCAAATGTATTTGAAATATTCCTATACAAGTGAAGATCATAGAACTAAATATATTTCAAAATAAGAGAAATCTCCACTGATTTTTTGAATGTTTCACTTTTTCGTCAGATAATGTACCTTTAAGTAAGTATACAGATTATATTTTTCAGATCATCTTTACATTATTGAATTTCAATATCCTGAACATACTTACATTTGAAATGGTTAAATTTTCCCTTACCATTTGTCACAATAAATTAAACATACCATAAACTACTAACTACTTACTATTAAACAGTAGCTAGTTATAGATTACTACAAATTACGAATGTGGACTGCTAATTATCAACCTTCCAGGCTTCGCGACTCAGAAACCCTGGATCTTAAGACAGCACTAATTCCGTTGGAAAGAGCATAGGATTATTGGTTGTTTATTATCCTGATAAGATGGTTCTGAAAAAACACATACTTGCCAAGAGTTCAATAAATTCTGTTATATGGTCAGTAGTTCTGCCTTTCGAACTACCTTCGATTAGAAATAAAGGATAGGATATGCAAGAAAATTATCAGTCGCGTTACTTTAGTCAGAATTTTTTGCTTGCCAAATAATTTTTCACCATCAAGTAAACTAAATAGGACAACAGGAACTTGGAAAAATAAGGACGTACACTGTTCCTTCTTTGTACTTTACCCAAGCTTAAATGAAATAAAAGATGGACTTTATGGGGAGCTTTGAAACATCCCCTAAAAAGCTAAACGTTCAGGTATAATGGTGGTAAGCAATTTCGATGCCCATGTAAGCACTTATAACGCAACCAAAAGTCATTTAGGTGGACTTTAGTGTGTCGCAGCTAAGTGACAGATAATGGCAATCGTCTGTTGTAAACATGCTCAGATTACCGCCTGTTTCTGGTAAGCACTAAATTTAAGGATAAGGAAAAACAACGTCTGATATGGTGACTTCCACAACAAACTGGATGATTAACGCAGATAAACCACATTGCCATCATTAGAGATGCTCGATGGAAGACTGTTGGTTACTCTAGAGAATGTGTTTAGATTCATATCACACTTTAGTAAGAGCAAGTATTTTTCGGGGTTTTACTGGACGTAAAAAAGCCACAACAAGAAAATCTATTATAGTTTAACCCAATGATAAAAAGGTCAAGAATACATTTTAGGAACAACGGAGCAGCTATTTAGCTACGCAATCGAGACCCAAAAATTTAAATTATTCGAACCGTATCTTTGATACCTAATCTTCCTCATTACTACTGATACTGTTATTATCTAACGTTTTGCAGGAGCTCTGAAAGCTTTCTGTAAAACTCATCTTTCAACGCATCTGAACGTCTGGACGTGGCTGCATGGACCACATCTTCACACCACGACAGGTCCTGGAACACAAACACACATTTAGGCGTCCTACAATAGTTGTTTTCCTGGACCTTAAGGCGGCATTTGACTCAGCACGGATACAAAAAGTTCGATTGGCTATTGCCAACTTGCTTCACTTATGGCGAAGGCGAGATATCCGCTCGCTGACCAAAGGACGAGTGTACTGCGCGGTAGTTCACAATTCGTCCTATTTTATGACTGTGAAACATGGCCAGTCAGTGTAGAAGATGTTCGTAGATTACTTGTTTTCGATCATAGATGCCTCCGAAGCATTGCTCGAGTATCGTGGGACAGCCAAGTAAGCGATGCTGTTGTTAGGAAACTAATACTAGACGGGGATGACAGATCAATTGATTAAGTAATGAAACTTTATCAGTTAAAGTGGTTGGAACATGTTTTACGTATGTCCGACCACGGACACCCTAACCGAGCTTTTTTTCTATGTGGGGATAGGTTGGACGAAAACCAAAGGCGGCCAGACCAAAACATGGCAGAAATCCATGAAGTCACTGACAAGTGGACTGAATCACGTCGGTAGGTGTCGATTACCTGGTCGGGGTTCGCCAGATTATAATAATCGATGATTAGAGACCCTGAATGACATGGATGAAAACCGTTTGCGACAGAGCAGGGGCATTTACTCTTAGTGTTCTATGAAAATCTAACCTGAATTAATCATCACCTTTCTTTCTCCTTCTAAATTTACCTCACTGAATTATACTCCTTGAATAACATCGAATCCTAATCTCTCCGATTACTTCTAATACCTTCACTACCTCTACTACTATGGGATTTGAATTGACAATTGTCTCTGTGCTAATGTGGTACGGCAACTTGAACTGCTGTACTTACGTGCAAAGTTCTACGTTGCTGTTGATGATGATGTATCGCAAAACGAATGGTTGCAATATCAAATATCTTTTTAATGGGTGATATTACAAGTGGGCTCTTCACGACAAAGCTCAGTGGGAAGCACTGATACAATAGACAATTCTATTGTTCAATTCGACAGTTAACGATTGGTTGAAAAGGAATTAGATAATGGAAGTGAAGTAATGATACATAAAAAACAATCGTCACAGTTGCTTCTAAAATTGTCTTGTCTCAAATAATTAATCCGCCTAGTGTGCATTTAATTAGGCTTTTGACCACAAACGCGAGCACATGTTAAAAAAGATTAGCTTGATTGACAACAGTGCACATACGTTTTGCTGCTAACTATATGCAGTCCTCATTTAAATACTTACAGCACTACTTAGCGAAAAAAATGGCACGAAGTTCGCAGCTAGGACAATCAACTTTTAATTATAATGTATATGTACGACTCACCTACACTGCATTCAGATAATTCTAACTCGGTTTACTAACTGCTGAGTAGAAAGGCCATGATAAACTACTTGCAGTTCTTTGGTAGTGTCAAACCGATTTATTATGATGTAACAAGGCCTATCATTATCTTATAACTAACACTTTCATCGTGTAAATAAGAGGTTCATAAAATTAAATGTTTGACCATTAGGTTTGTGTGCCTTGACTTACAAAATACAGCTTTAAAAGTAATATTCTAATTTTGTAGTAGTACAACTTATTAACCGTGTATGGTAAGTAAACCATTCATCAGGCTCGTCACTGAAATTACCTTATGGATTCAAGTTGACATTTGAGCTTTGCGAGCAAATTAAGGACAGTGTAACTACAAATGAAACATAATTATATGACATTCTTAATAAAACAGTCGGAAATCCAGGTATCTTTTTACTAACTGCAAGATGACTACGACTTACTTAATCAGTGAAATAACAGTTGAAGTAAATCATTAGGTTAATGTGAGCTATTATACAAAACCTGTAATCCTATTGTAATCAAACAGATACATATTACGTACATTGCACTGTCTCTGTAGTTCTACTACAGAAACCAGTTTGATGTGGTCACTAGATGATTGTTCACAAAGTGACATTCAACAACTGTTGACAAGATATGACAACAGCCGTTAGGCAGAAACGCTGAAACACCGATTATACTTATATTGCTTAAGTTCTACGAAGAAATACCACATTCATTAGGCCTTCATTTCTCTACGTATTCCCGAAAATATGATATTACAGTCGAGTCACTGACGGAAAGTAGCAAACTACAGCTCCAGGGGTAATTGATTATCGAGATACGCAATAATCCTGCCTACTGACAGTTACATCGTATGAAAAACGAGAGTACTGTTAGAACATCAGCGATCAACCTTAACTACCTGAATTCCATGTCTCATAGGTAAACTTAACTAGTTGTTCATGATGAGACAGAACTCGATACGACCGTATTTAGGCTAAGAAAAAGAGTAGTCATTACATACCAAAAGTTTATTCACATCTATGCTGCTGGTACTGATATTTCGCCAGCATTTACCTTCTCTATAATAACCTGTGGGGATTCTCCATCAACAGTACAACCAACCGAACGTGCCGTCCCCAATACCTCTTTCACTGTTCCTGACAGTTCACGTGCAATACTCCTAGGCCTCATTGTTCGTGCAATTTCGATTATCTCATCAAATGTCAAGTTTCCATTGTGTTTTATATTCTTCACTTTTTTTCTATCACGAGGCTCTTCCTTAAGGGCTTTGATGATAAGGGAAGAGGCTGTGGGGATAACACTGATTGTCGCTTGTCGATTCTGGATAGTCAGTTTGACACATATACGTAGACCTTTCCATTCCTGAGTGGCTTTTGCAATATCGTCACCGACTTTCTTTGGAGACAAACCGAGCGGACCAATTTTAGGAGCCAAAGACGATGTGGCACCGACCTCACCACCAATAACTCTTAAGTAACCTGAAATTGTGTGAGAAATAATTGTTCAGCTTACAATAAGTGACAGCTGTAGGGTCGAGCTTTGGGGGCATGACAGTATATAAACTTGGCGCCTATAAGTAACGCAATATTCAGGCTGCTCGTACTAGGGAAATTTATGTTGAACATTTGGTTTGACAAATTGGTTGTCGAAAAAGCAGTTTCTCACCAAATCATCATGAAACTATTGACCATTACAGACGCGTAACTAGTAAGCATTCGATAAAAATAACTCCTCGTCCGCAATGATGTTTGTCTATCTACGTTTATAAATATATGTGAAGATGAGTAAGCTTACTGAGTTTTTTTCTATGCTGAACGTTTTGTAAACATTGAGACTTTTATACCCACTACCGAAACGTCCAGTTCAAAAATTTTAAAGAGTACTTACAAATGTACATTCTAACTTCTCATTGAAATGATACTCTCGGTAGCCGGATATGACATATGCTAATCATAATGGTAATAACTCCCCAAAATTATTATTTCTTCCGACAGTGTCCATTTATATTAAATTCTTAATTTTTAGCCAACACTGTTTGTCAGGGGATGAATAATCTTAAAATACGTCCAACGAGTTTTATTTGACAAGGTTATTTCTTTGTCCTCAGACTGTTTTATGTTTCTCAGTCATTAACATTTTACTTCAGTTAAATTTTATGTTCATCCTTTCAATTTCACCTCTCTCTGTTGCCGATGCGGCGACTACGGAGCACTAAACGTAGCTGCACCTGTCGATAGCTGTCCTACTCCCCGCATACACAACATCATGTCAGCACTCAAGGGCACAACTATTTATTCCAAGATTGATCTGGTGCGAGCATATCATCAGATCCCAGTTGTTCTTGAAGATAATGAGAAAACTGCTATCACGACTCCTTTAGGTCTGTTTGAGTTCCTACAAAAGCCATTTGAATTACGGAATGCTGCTCAAACTTTCCAAAGATTAATCGATAGCATAATACGAGACTCTGATTTTGTTCACGTCTTTATTGATGACTTACTAATCGCATCATCAAAGGTAGATGAACATTTTCAGCATCTTACACTCTTATTCCAACGCCTTTCGGATAATAGGATAATAGTCAAACCAGATAAGTGTGAACTGGGCAAGCCAGAAATAAAATTCTTAGGTTACCTCATTAAGCAAGAGGTATTTTACCTTGTGAAGACAAAGTACGTGCAATCATTGAGTGCACTGTACCGTCTACACTCAAGGAACTGAAGTCATTTCTTGGTTTGGTTAACTTCTACGGATGTTTTATTCCTCACGCGGCAAAACGGTTACGACCATTAACCAACTTACTTTGCGGTAATCCACGCAAATTATGGTTGAACGATACCGTGCGTACTGCAGTTTCAGAGATCAAAAAAGCTTTAGCTCAGGCCACGCTTAGTATGGCGGTTGATGCATCGGATTTGACATAGGAGCCGTGTTAGGATATTCATCCAACATCTTAAGAGAATTATATTTCAATTCCTATTGGTTAATTCCTACCGGTCAATTTTATGGTCGGCCTAGATACCAATGTCAAGTGCTCCAATGTTGTTTCCTATTGGATGACCTGACTATCAATGTCACTTCAAATTTTGCTTCCTATTAGTTGTCTTAACTGTCAATGTCATAGATTTCGTTGCTATTTCCCATTCGACCGAAATGTATAAATACGCATTATCTGTAACGTTTTATTACAACTACCAGGACCAGGACCCGGTCCCGGATCCCTAGTCCGGGATCTTGTTTCTCTTCTGGAGTCGGACCTCGTACTTTCTAGATGCTTGCAGAATACAGATTCTACTCCATATCATGTCTTCTTATTTTCACTGAATATGGGGGTTGAGATAATCGGATTTGGGTAGCATGTCGTGTCACCGGATCCTCGATCCTCGCTCTCGTTTTCCGGCTAGGTGAACTCATAATAGTTCAAGTATATCAAGTTGACGTGTTTACATGTAGGCGTGCAAGCTGATCGCAAAAGAACATCTCCGGAAGTCCACAACCTCTCTAATTTATCTGCTTAGTGACAGGCCCGTAGTCAGTATTTAGTAGTGATCATAGACAATCTCGCCTCGATCACCACTAAAATTGGTGAGGTGACGTTTCTTCCAAAAAAAGTCAATTACGGTAAGTCTATTATTCATCTACCCTCGCTTTTATGATGTTGCTGTACTATTTTTAATGTCCTTATGCTTGCAACAAATTTTCTAAGTGGTGGATAGCTATAATATAATAGACTCCGAGGTGCAGGTCACTGAATTTTGACCTGTGTCCTTCCCGTTACTTCGAATTGTTCGTTTATTTTACGTGCACAATTATCCTTCTAACGCTAGGCACATAGTGGCCACAGGTGTCTGAGTATCTGTCCTATCTTCTTGCAGCAGCAAGTCACAAGCTACAGTGCCTCGACTACGCGCTGCAAATGGCCCCGTCACTCCTAGCTACAGTACACAACAGCTAACGATCAACTTGAATAAACAGCGACAGTATCCTTGGGCGTTCATTTCTGCTGACCTTTCCATATCCGTACTCAGTATCGATCCCCTAAGACTCCATAAGTTACTATTCGATTCACGTAGGCTGCAGTTAATCGAAACTTCGTCGAATAATAATCTAAGGGTTTAACCCTCCAACAGATATGTACCGCATCACTGATATGTTTTTTTGCATGATTTTGTATTTCATGATGATAGAGACGATCAGCATTGATGGTCTCAAATCAGCACATGTCAATGACAATGTCCTCCACGAAGAACCGAGATTCAATGCTGGATCAATCCAACTCACAAGCAGGATTCCTATTTCTTCTTCGGAACCCACGCTAGCAACATCAGAGACCGCATTCTCACGTCCCAGTCAACAGCATGTGTCATCTGCACCATCTATGGATGAGACCCCGGTCTCACATCCAGATCATCAAACCACGCCGCCCTTGACTTTGGATGAGATTGCAGGCTCACGAGGTACGTACAGGACTACCATCTCACATTCCGGGAGCCATGTACGCCTACCCGTACGCTTCCGCGACCAATCCCCCAATCAACGGATACGGTATGGAGACTTATGCCCATACTACATGCATGTTACATCTTTCTATTCCTCTTTGATTTTTTATTCCAAGCTCTTCTCTACGACCATCACCCTGTTGGTACCGTCTATTTCGGCCTGATCGCCCACGCTCTTGTCAATGCACTCAGTCGGTGTTCTGATCCGGAGTATGTCTCGCATACGTATGGTTTCGAACTTGGTTGTTATAATCGTTTCTGGCTCCTCTACTAAATCTGGTTCCATCCAAAGTCTGCAGCGTTTTCTGGTCCGGACCTCTACAAACCCAATTTCTAGACTCTGGACACGAGACGCGCTGGTATGGTACGCTAATTCGAACAGCAAACTTGACTCGTTACCACTGCTACCCTTCACAAAAGACCTTCGGGGACAACCCGAACACCATGAATCGCTTTCTGTTCGTCAACCCTTCCATTCTACAATCGTTCGTTTTCCGATCAATCCCTCGAACGATACCGAGACTTATCGAAAGCGTAACCCCTTTCTAGCGGGGAGCTGCTGTAGTGAATTCACGTTTATGATGAGAGCGTGATTGGTGTAATAGAAATATTCATTACTGTAACCACTTCTACCAGTGATTGTTGAACTGTACTTTTTGTCTCTTTCACTATTTACGCGCAAACATTCCGTTTGTGTCGCTGTCATGTTTTGATATACCAGCTCTAAGAATTCGCCTCACCTTCCTGGCTCGATTTCGGTATTCTTTCGATAACACGAAATCGCCAGCAAATATATCCTCTACTATGGATTTAGTTATCTTGTAACTAGTATTTAGCGGTGATCATAGTCGATCTTGCCTCGATCACCACTAAACGACTATCAATTAGGTTACGCTTGAAAAAACTTAAAGAAATGATTTGGTTCTTTTGATAATGTTCGACCTACGACTGCCTGCTGGAAACGTTTACTCGCATTGTAGGGGATGAATATTTATTCTTGTTTGGTAAGGAATACTGTCGTTGATTCTTGCATGCCAAACACGTATTAAATAAACACTCGCCCGGTCGCTCAGTATGCTATATTACGCTAGAGAAACCTTTGACTGTGTAGAACAGGATGTACCGTTTGAGGCACTTATTGATCGAGATATAATTTCTTCCCTAAATTAGAATTGATTAAACTTTGCACAGAATTTGCATCTGCCTAAAACTTAATACAAGTTGTAGTAAAATGTTTAGTACACTCTTAGTAGAGAAAACTTATTTACGAGCGCATAAGCTGAAATGAATCCCTAATTCTCCGTCCATCGATCGGCCTCTGTTAAAACATTTTCTCCACACAAATCTTTGTTATCCCTTGAATTATCTAGATACCAGCATCATCTGTGTCCGTCTCATATTGAGTACTTTCATACTGCACAGGGCACATGATGGAGTAATTAAACGCAACAGCAAATTAAAGCTAACTACTGCACTTGTGAACTGTCAGGAACAATAAGAAACTTGGAGAGGATAGAGATCACTCACTTGAAAATCCCTGAGTAGGTAGGTTACCTGTCCACTCACACCAAATAGGACAAACAGGATAAAGAACCATACGTTTAAAGTCAAAAGTATCGACTTTTTGTATAAGAGAGCTGGAAACATAGTGAACAAAACTGACGGGTTGTGTGAGCTAAACATGGCTGACAATTTCCAGTCGATAAGGATATCTGAAATGTTGGTACCTCAAATCATGAACCAGGAGCTAACATTACTCAGCATGTGTTTGTCTCACTGTTAAGGGAAGCCTGGCTAGAGAGGCTAGGTTGCTGTTTAATTATGATTCAGCCCAATACAACATCAAGTGTACATTAAAATATGTCGAAAAGGATAAATCTGAATGGTTTCCAGAAATATTTTATAACACTTCATGATTTCTAGTTGCTTCCATCTACAGAAAACCTACTCTAAACACTAAATCCAAAGAGCTCATGCTTGGGGATAATTCTGCCTAACTCGTCTGGAATACACATAAATCCCAATATTAAGAAACTTCAATCTCCAGTCATCTTTGCAGAACACACTTACGATTGAGCAGACAACTCTTCTGAAGCTCCGTTCTTCTGTCTCATTTAAGAATTAGAATTATTTGAAA